GTGTGTGTGTGTGTGTGTGTGTGTGTGTGTGTGTGTGTGTGTGTGTGTGTGTGTGTGTGTGTGTGTGTGTGTGTGTGTGTGTGTGTGTGTGTGTGTGTGTGTGTGTGTGTGTGTGTGTGTGTGTGTGTGTGTGTGTGTGTTCTGTCATGTGGTTAGAGGAGAAGGTGACACCCGACTTTCAGCACTGCAAAGTCGTGAAGCATTCGGTGGGTGATTGTTTGGTTGTGTCTGCGACTGTGTGGAGGTGCGAGAGATGAGGACGTGTTGAGGCGAGTGTGAGATGTGTTGGAGGAGGGGATGGTGGTAGTCGGGCATACTTCAGTAGCGCCTGCAGTGGGTGGGTGGGTGAGTGAGTGAGTGAGTGAGTGAATGAATGAGGGAGCAAGCAAGTGACCAGCCTTCAGTCGCCAATGAGGATGCCTACTTTCTGAGTGGGTCACGAATCTGCAGTCAACCTGAGTGATGTGACCGCCACGCATGAGGTGGTGGAGGTGGTTGGGGTGGTCCTCTACCACCCCATCAAAGCATGTGATGTATACAAAACTGACGATGAGGTGAAAAAAGCCGTACCAACTCGACACGGTGGTACCCTACCCGAGGGAGTGGTGGTGTGCACACTCCCTCACTTCGCTGTGCAATCGGCGAGGCGCTCGTTACGAGGCAGATGAGGCTCGCTTTTGGGGTCCTATTTTAGACTCCCTGTGTGGTGCACTGTGCTGTGCTCTGCTGTGCTTCGTAGCAAAAAACAAAGCAGCTGACTTGACACTCAAAATGCCGAGTGTGTACTTTTAAGGCATGTAGTGTGGTGTGGTGTGGTGTGGTGTAGTGTGATGTGATGTGATATGGTGTGTTGGATTGGGTAGGGTAGAGTTGGCTTGGTGGAGGAGACAGCGGTACAGTCAGAGCGAGAGAGAGAGAGAGAGAGAGAGGAGGGAAGGGGAAGGGAAGGGGAGTAGAATTTCATCAGCAAATTGACTCCTCTCTGCCTCCTCCTACTCCTCCTCCGCTGCCTCCATTGCCTCCTCCTCCACCTACTCAGCTCCAGCGCTGGCGTCGAAGCTGTGGTAACTCTGTTTTTGCAGAAAAATTGGTACTGTAATACATGGTGAGCGGAAGCACGCTTATCTGGGACAAACAAAAAGGCAGTCTTTAGTTCATTTTGAGAGTTTTTTTGCCATTACCCTCAAACAGTGTATAGTAAGTATTGACTTGCTTCTAAAGCTAAGCCTCTCTCGTGAAAAGATTCAGCTCATTGGCATAGTATGAAGATTTCTGTCCCTCCAACATCGCCTTCTGGCCTGCCCATTGAAGCAGTTTACTCTCATTACCTGTGCCAGTATCATTATGTGTTGCTAGTCCACCGATGTCCCGTGTCTGAAGACGGAGAACTTTGTCTGTTCTGAAATGCTCAGATATTGATTCGTCCCCCTGAAGTCGTGAAGGCATCTAGACGGCCAAGGTCAAAAACAAGTAGGATTTGAATTCAGATTTATGTATTCTTTAGTTAAACGTGTCACCACTATGCATGTTTTCTTATTTCTGATGAAGTGATTCGTCAGAGGAGCCTCAATTTACCTTTCTAAAGCCCTACAGTTTATAATCTTGCTATTCGGTTGGCAGGACCTCATTTCCCCATCACAAGCACAAAGTCGTCATTTAGATGGATATGCAGTGTAGCAATGTTATTTGAGCTTTGAGCCTGGCTCGCCTGGCTTCTTGATCGTGACTGCTGCTGTTGCAGACATATTGAGAACTACTGACATCTGTCTGTCGGCATCTCGTCTGCCCCTTTGTTTACACTGTCACCAATCCTTTTTCCTCCTCATTTAAAGCATAACGCAAGTCCAGATGATATAAATAGAAGTATCTTTTTCTCATGGGCTCACTTTGTAAGTCTATTTCGGTAAATATTAAGTTACACATAACCTAAATTAAAAAATTTTGACCTATTTCTTTTCTTTTTTACTTAGAAGTAGCGATGCGTTTCCCAGAGAATGAATGGGAGTCCAGTCATTTGCTATTAAATTTTAATTTCTACATCGAATTGGACATAAAACCAACATAAATAACTTTTGAATGGGAATTTTCCCTATTCATACGCGTGGCATGAACTCTTAGACAATTTAAAAGGGACAAGGTAAGGGGATGGGCAAATCTTGCGCCCGTACCAATAGCTTTTGCAAAATCGTGGATGATTTGCCATGCTGTGTAGTTAGATGTCACCGGGCGATGGGCAAATGCTAATCATCAAAATGCGGTGATTAATGACACCGGCCATGCTCCCCACTTCCTCCTACCCCGTCCTAACCTTGAGACTGAGATTAGACAGCAGGCAAACTCTGCGAAGCACTCCCCAAATGCTAAGAGTAATAAGTTGGCGGACAAAGTTAATGGCTTGTCCATTCAATAATGTCTGCCCCTTCCTCCTCTTTCTCCTTATCCACCTTCCCCTCCTGCATAATCCGTGTGGTTTTTGCAGTCACTTCTGATGGAATGATTTATGGAGGGGTACACTACGTTGGAAATGTGACTAATGGCCGATGGGTTGAAAAATTATGCTGGCCGCAGGATAGCAGATGCTATTCAATCCTGGTAATGTCAAAGTGAGGGTGGAGTGAGCCACTACATGATGTTTGAATGACCATGCAAATTCCTCAATGAGGTGAATATGTAATTTGAAGAACTGATTCGACTGAAAGTAACAATTAATATCACTGAACGAACCTAGACACGTAGCCTGAGCCGCAAGTTACACGCACCAACATTCGTGATCTACGAAAACACAAAAATGGATTAAAACAATTAACGGTGTTGTAGCACTCCGAGGTTTCCTTAAAGACGAAAGAAGACACAATACTCAGGCAGAATAGTGTATAGTTCACCTACAGAAGGGTTGGAGGCTGTTGGTATGGTCCAGAGGCCAGACCGCCCAGCGCAGGTACAATGGCGGAGCCCCTAAGCGGTCCCTTATCAAAAGTAGAGTTTAGAAAATAAATAAAGTATTACATAATCTTTCTCCTCTTTCGAGCCCCGTCACCATCGCTCTCCTTGGTCAACCTCCCACGTTGACCGTTACAAGGTAGTTGGTGCTGCAGGAAATACACCCACGAATCAATCCAGCCAGTTATTGAACTAGCTTGTAACCGAGATGACACATGACAGCAACCTCACTGATCCCTCTTAACAATTCCGCTGCATCCGGTTTGTCCTGTTTGGGAACTATACTAAGGGATGGGGAATGTGCTTGTCATTAGGCGTGCCCATAGCTGATTGTAAGAACACTGGCCTAAAAGCAGTTATATGACAAAGGACGGGATTTAACATAGTTTTTAGAGGGTAAGGTTTCTCATCTTTTCCTCCTTGCCACGTCGTTCTCACTTCAATGATGCTCTGCTACATATTTATCCGGGTTCTATGCAGCTAGTAGAGAGGTGAGCGGTTGTCATGCCTACACTTGACAACTTCACAGGGGTACCGTAGACATTTCTGTACCAGACTTTCCATGTGTTTCACGGTCATAGGTAGTGTCGGTTCAGTTGTTAATAGCTTTCCTGTAGAGCAATGGACTGGGATATTTGCCGACTGTAGACATCATTTTCAACCCTGATGTTAGGAGGCTTCACAGATTCTTCCACCAGTAGCATATGCACTGCTTTTGCGCTAGGGTTTACCATCGACAATTAAAAATCAGGATAGATGGCCTTTAAGGTCGGTTTCGCTTTCCACTGCTACCAATGTAGCTCCTCGAGACTTCCCTGAATACAAAAGAAGACACAATACTTGGACGGAATATGCGTTGGCGACCAAAAAATGTAATTTAGAGGTTTGTCTTTTAATCTAATTCATTATCAATAAAGCATTAGAAGTCATTCTCGGGAGAGCTCAAATTTTGCAGGCTTCTACTCAACAATATTTAATTGCAAGTGCTTAAGGGCTAAGTTTCTTAATTTGACCATTGATCTTTACTGGTTAAAATGGTACATCATAATTTATCCCTAGTTTTCTTATTTACCCTCCTCGAGGATATCTGAAGCCTCGATTTTCTAACCCGACCCCAGTGTCACAAATGTGTGACATTCTTGGAGTAAATCGTAGTGAAGTCAGAAATTCCAATAAGCATCCGAATCAGTCAGCAAAATTTGACAATCAGTGCTGTATGAAAACAAAGTATTTGATTTGTGGTGATCAATTTTCCAGGCAGCAAGCCATTAAAATTCCTTCCAAAGGCAGTTTTTTGGAGTATTTGGTATCAAACGAACCCTTACACTACTGAATGGAGATATTTAAATAAAGGTGTTTGCTTTGCTACACTGTGAATAGTAGATATCCTAATGGACTCATTCCTAACTGGTTGAAAATGCCACATCTTATAGGCAAGTCTTGCAAAAGTCATTCCAACGATTTAATTGGTGCGACGTTCTTAACTGTAAGATGAACAATTCTCCCTGCACCTAAATAATATGTAAGATCCTCACTACATAACGTATTTTGTTAATTTTCGCCTTACTTTTACAGTATGATAAATAAGGAAACAAGAAGATCGGTTCGCCTGAACCGTGAGCTCCACTTCACATTTGCAAGGAAAGGAAATGTATGAGCTTGAGCGCTGTATCCAGCCCATTGAAAAACCTTTATTCTGCAAGATTTGAAACCACAAAGGAAATAGATTTATTGGTCTTCTGCACAATGACCTCTACGTCGTCTCTTCATGATACAATAAAGCCCATTCTCAGACACCCGAACTTTGTAAATCTTCCAAGAAATCAGTATCCTAGCCCAACTCCGTAAATCCGTGCTGTTGTGATTTCAAATGGCTTTTTATACTAAGGTAAGTGTCACGGTAACTTATTTTCCTCCGACAATGGCGAACAAGAAGAGAAAGAGGTTTAAAAGCAGGTCTAACCAACTTCTGCTTTGTTGGTGAAGAAATGGAGGTGGCTTTACCACAAGACGTATTAAAGCTGGGTGTAATCAAGGGTAACTAACGTGGAGATCTGTTATGCTCAGTGTTTTCATCTGCTCACTCACCGCATCGAAAGCGTATTTTGACCCTCTCACACAGTGCAATTGCATTGCGTTTTTGTCGTCTGATAGATGAGGCTCTGAAGCCTGTTGCATGCCAACAACTAGAGCACCCAGTTAAGGACGCAATATAAAACGTGATACTCCCTCCCGGCTATAACTCTTATTCAGCTATCCAGCAATGTACTGAAGGCTGGCTTTGAAACATGTTGCACAGACTATACATTAATCATTACGATTATACCCTCGCCAATTATGATTATTCTCTGCGTACTAAGTTTATGGCTGCCTTTACGACTGTTGTTGTTCGCCTCAATAATAATGAAGTGTGGAACTGCCTCTAAATGAAAGGTTTGATCTTTAAGCCACGAGGAAGTACACATAACCACTTAACCGCTTTTAAAATATTGGTAACCGAGCGTCTGCCAGAGTTTTCTTGAAGACAAACCCCTTCGGGTTCTAGCTGTACTGCCAAATAACCACTGGGATTCAATGCAGGTGCAACCGATTGAGGTTTGCATGAAGTGCATGTGAAGAGCCGTCAAGATTACTCTCGAGAGCCATCAACACGTGACACTTGCGTCTCATCGCGCTGCCATGTTGTGCCACCTGTTAGACCAGTTTTGAAGTTGCATAGACAAGTTTCGAGCAACTCCGTGCTCAAAAAACCGAATTCATTTTTCACTGTCGTTGGCAGCCACTTTTTCGACTGTCTTTTGCCCTTGCTTGCAGTTGCTGCAGCAGCAGCGGCGACCACTTTGTTTCGTTGCTGCCTGAGTCACGGGAGAGAGAGAGAGCGGTGAAGGGGCAATTTTCCGCCCTGTCCCCACCCACCTTCCGCCCCGTCCTCTCTTTAAACCGTCCTTTCGCACAAAAGCCACCATGACTAATTCAGCATGCACACGGTTCTAAGTGATATATAGCCCCCTCGGGTAGAAGGCTGTGGTGGTGATGGTACAGCAGCGGTTGAGGAGCAGGGTGCCTCAAATGCGCCCAGCCACCCCCACACTCCACATCTCAAGGTCAATATCATGGCTATTAATTGCGAAGAGCGTAGCTGTCAAAGCCAAATAGCTAGCCACTCTGCAAACCCTCCAAAGTAATAGTACGATCAAGCAGACGACTCTAGAGGCCTACAAGCGGTGCCCAGAAACTAATGCACGCTCAGCTGTCGACTTGGTTGGTTGATTGATTTGTGGACGGGGGAGTAATCCATCAAGCCCCAACTCTCCCAGCCACTCTTTCACCAGCGCACATACATAAAGAGACAAAGGCGTAATCAGTGCAAATTGCTTTGCTGTACAACTGAGTCGTCACACATCAATACCAGTAGTACTGTACCAACAGAACGACAAACGCAGGCCATATAGGCGCAAACAAGCATGGCCTTCCCTCACACTTAATGGCTGTCCGAGCATCTGTATCTTTCATAGGATGTGTACACATAGTAGAGGAGTTCTCTCACACACAAGCACCAGGAATAAGAACGTGTGCTTGAAAAGGTAGTGTGCGATGGCACTAGAGAGAGAGGAGAGAAAGGGTGAGAAGAGCGGCATCTGAAATTGTGTAGTACAGTACGTGGGGTGTAAGAGCGTATATATCTAAAGAAGAGGGGGATGTGTAAAGCAATAACTAATTTGCGTGAATATCCTGTTGCAGGGGCCCCGAGTCAGAGTGCTGATGGTGATGATGATGATGGTGATGATGCTGAGGCACAAAGGCCGCACCACCATCGCCACCAGCGCTGCTACTGCTACCACTACCACCGCCACGACCGCCACCAAAGGAACTGCTCTCATTGCTAGCAGTGGCATTATTATTGCTGTTAAGGCCACCGCTAAACGAAGTCTGCCGCCTGAGCTGCTGCCCCGATCCCGAAGATTGACCAGAAGTGGGACCAGGCTGTTGCTGTTGTTGCTGTTCTTGTCCACCGTAAAAGTTTCCATATCTACCAAGGAGTGAACCATTCTGTGTTGCTCGAAACTGGGTCGGTGGGGAGTAGCCAGAGGTGACCGGAGAGCTCCGAATCGAATTAACACTGGTAGATGGTTGGGGAGAGGGGACGGAGGTGAGAAAGGCACCCGCAGTAACCCCAGTGACTGGATGCCCTCCGGAGTAGCCTGAGTGGGAGGGGTATCGGTAAGGGCCATAGAAAGAAATGGAATCAACGCTGCCCCCGTTGCTTGCGGTACCTGGGAGGTCGGAACTTGAGGCGGTGGCCATGAGACTCCCCCCGTCCATCATACCGCCGCTTACTGCTGCTGCAGCCAATGCGGCATAAAGCCCCGAGTTTTGGGGAAACTCTGTAAACAAAAAATATTCCAATTTAGTAACCTTCCAAACACAATGAATATTAGTCAACTCGTCTTTCTCTACTTCCCCTTTTACTTCTTCTGAGACTATGGGTTCAGGTAAAGTTGAAAAACTTTGGCTGGACAAAGGCGGAGAAGAGTCTCAATGAATGGCTTTAAATCACTTTATCTCCTTTATGTTTTAAAGGCATCATATCATATCGTTTAGGTTCTTTGTATGGGGCAAAGATTTACAAAACCTTTCGATGGAGTTTAGGAACTCATTACTAACATATTGGTCTTTAAAATTGGCCAGTGCGAAGGTGATTTAAGTAATCATGTCTATCAGAATGTGTGGTGGCGTCTGCACAATTGATAAAAACGGTGGAGGAAGGAGCATGGAAGGTGCTTTTGTCGCGTAATGACACATGCATTTGTTCAGCCGACCAGGTGTTCAGTACCCCACTGAACGGGTCTCGAAAAGTAAATACCAGCTGCCAGACCCACCCAGCAATATATCAAAATAGAGACTGAGAGACGGGGAGCGAACAAACGAAAGAACGAGCTAGTGAATGAACGAACGTGCACGCTGTCATGCATGTTCTGTCTGGATAGAAGACATTAATTACGCCGGTCAACAGCACCACCACCACCGCCAAGAGTCGTATGAGATCAATTCTTGGTGTAAAACGGAGACTTGAAACATCTGTCAACTACAAACGCACCCCGAACGACAACCCTCGGAGAGACCGTGTCCAGGATGGCCTAGAGCTCTATGTAATTCTCCATTTCATTCATCTATTTCTCATGGTTGGATTCCAAATCTCATGGCAAGTTGAAGTGTTGGAATCTCGTCGAAGTAGATTTGGCTCAAGACGACGCAAACTCAACATCGCGAATCAACATCCAAACTGATCTCACTATGTGGTCATGTAAGCATCGCTCTGTGTAGGTGCTTTTAACAAATGACGTATAGGAGCAAGGTCACCAACCTGGATGGCCATAGGCGGCAAAGTGTTGATTATCCATGTAGGAGACACGACCAGAAGCGTCAGTAGAATAGCCAAGGGGACCTGAGATAAAAAATGGAAATTCTCTTGAAAATAAAAAGCCGCATACAAAAAGCCACTAGATCAGTGCTTGTAGTAACGATTTTCATTAAATAGTACTGAAAAGGGAAACAAATATTTAGGCTATTAAAATGGTTTTTGCATCTATTCAAGTGGTTCCTCATTTGCAAAGCATTAAAAATCCGACTGGATTCACTTTTTGAGGTAAGTAGTCAAAACCAAGTTCCGTTAAACTGCAAACTGGAGGCGGGGCATGATGTCATTTAGTTAAAATTGTCTGAAATTTTTTTTGGCAAACATTGGCGGGTGTTGGGTAGGGAACTCTTCCGTCGTGCCTGACAGCCAGCCGGCTAGCTCCCTGTCGCCAAATTAAGCCATAAGTTTACCGCCAGCAGAAAACATTCATGCATTCAAACTGTTCATTCATTACACAAAAGATTGAGACAATTTTCTGCTGCCTGAGATACTATGGTCCCATCTGCATTTTGCATTAGAGTAGTTGTACTACTGTGAATGCTACTGAAGTGGTTAATTAAGTAGCTTGGACCTTTCAGTCAATTAACTGCAAGAAAATACAGAAGCCAATGATGATTTTGACAACAATTTTTATATATGGTTTCCAAATTTGAATCATCATGAATAAACATGTTACTAACAGAAAGTTTATTTATGAACGTACACTACAAGTGCCCCACTCCTCGCCTTCACATAAACATTTCTGTCTTTTATCGTGGCTGGAACTGCCTTTGCAAGCCTAACGGGCAAAAATTATCAACATTTGCCCATTCCAACACCACCGTTTGTTTACATCATAAGGAGGGGTGAAGTCATCCCACAAGACCCAGATTTTGCGCCTAAGGATCGAGAAAGGTGTTTGGGCCGATGGCTCCGCTACTTACCCGATCGGTTGGATTGATCAATCATCGGTTGGACAATTCGTCTTCTCGCGTTAATAAACCTAAAATACAAAAGAGCGCCACTTAAAATAATGAAAATAGTGATCCACATTCATCCGATACTATGCCATGAGGGTAAACGAGTTTAACACGATACTGGTTCGCGATCTCCACGACTTACTCAACAATTATAACGAATCACGTCACTTGAGTGATCGTCCCAAAAATTAAGACACACACATATCTACCATTCAAACATAAAACAGTATTTAGTAATAAAGTGAAAAGAATCAGAATGAGTATGAGCATCCATAGCAGCAGTGGCAGTGCCAATTGACGAATGAAGGAACTCCCAAGCACATTTTCAAGACAGACTAAATTAACAGCGAGCAGAAAAATAGTCGGCGGGGGAAAATTAATTTGCACGCGCATTCAGTTCACCTCCACCACCACCCCTACCCTTGCACCTCTTGACTTCCTCCTCATCTCCTCTCCGCCCTCCTCCATTCTGTCCTGAGGCATGGAGTTAATGAATGTGATCCTCCTCTCCCTCCCATCCTCTTCTCTTCTTCGACCTCTACTTTCTGCTGCTGCTGCTGCCTGTAGCAGCATCCACCCCCTACTGCCACCCTCCATTGCCATGCCTCCACATGACAGCTGACAGCACGTAGGCACGAGAGGATCCGGAGTGCTACCCCAAGCTGCTATAGTTACTGTCACAGGATGATGACAATGATGGCACTCGTGATGCATCTGCAACTGCAATCACAATTTGTGACACGGGGAGAGGGTTGAGGAGGGGGAGAGAATTGTGATTTCCGCTGCTCTGCCCGCGATAAAATCTTGATCGATGAGGAGACCACGCAGTGAGGACCGAAAAGAGGAGATGGGGTGTCGCGATGACAGAGGGCAACAAAGAGGAAAGCGTCTCTCCCTTCCTTACTCTATCTCAATGCCCCTCTCCTGCTTTTTCTGTGCGTATGTGCGTGTGTGGATGGGGTTGACAGAAGGCAGCTGTCTACTCTGAATAGGCCCCGAAAGCAATTCAGGAAGAGGTTAATGATTGCATTTCTGGTAGAAAAAAAAATAATAAGGTGTGTTTCTACATTGACTACTGGAAGTTTATCGAAATGCGGTAAATACAAATACTAAGCCAAAGTGGGATATCACTCCCCTTAAATGCCAGGCAGAAAAGTTAATATGATTGACATTTAAGGCTAACCAGTTCCGGCGTTTTTATTGTTCCCGAATGAAGCACAAGTAAAAGTTAAGATTATTCTCGAATTGGAGTTTCGTCGTGGAACAAGCCTGGACTCATACTACTTTGGCTTACTCTTACGTTTTGACTACTTTAACCTTAGAAATTAATCAGTTATGAGGTCAAAATTGGCACTAAAATGGGCAATAGTGCTCTCAGAATTTAAGCATGAAATAACGGGAAGGTTCAGTAAGGTCGGGGTCAAGAAGTCCGACCAATTAAGAAACCTCACCTTTAAGAAGGCTATAAGCACAGAAGATTTACTAATTCAAACCGTCAAAAGGGCTACTTCGTGCTAATCGTGCACATGTGGCACGTCTTCAGCCGTCAGATTTGCGTTGGCAATGCCACTACCATGTCACATCATGCAGCAAATCAATCACTGTTGTTGTCGTTGTCGGCTATGGAGACACATAAACTTTGATTGCACCAACGTAATACATCAAAGAGGCTCAGGCATTTCACACTTCACTCATGCGACACCTGCTGAAGTGTGTGCGTGTGTGCAACTTTGTGCTCAGCGCTCCACTTTCTTACAATCTTATTTAACCACAAAAATCAAGTTAAAACGCTCATAACCTTAAAAGTGAGACTCACCAATTGTTGACCTGGAGAATAGTTAACCCTGTTTCCGAAGAAAGTTGTTTCTTCTGCTCTTCAGATGGATAAGGGTGCTAAAGGAAGGAAAAAGATAATAATGATCGCTGGGACTACGTCTAAGTGCGATTCGGGAACATCCTAAGCATTAACACATTCGCCGAAAAGGGGCTCAGAAGTGAAACGAGTACCACCGGGTTCTGATGTTTTTTCGCCCCACCTTGACAAATATATTAAAGCATGTAATTCTGGTTAGACTAATAGAAACAATATACTTGTTTGATTGTTTTTAACTCAGCCCATTTGTTATTGATGCAATTTCGTGCAATCAGCTATCATAAACTGCTAGAGAACCGCGTCACACATATGCGACGCCGGTCACAGTTTTTACCGACTTCGCGGTATCTATAAACTCACGGACAGATGCTGGAACAACCACGCTCTCATAATGTTGGTTGCAGCTTTGGGGAAAATGCCTCGTTTTTTCTGCCTCTTTGTAGATTTTTCATCATCAAAGTCGTCAAGATTCTCCCCCGACTCCACAGACTTGGCGAATCCATCACCTGACAAAAAAAAACAACTACATTATTTCGTATTCTTCTTATAAACATATTTTTGAGTCCTTTACCAGAATAATACAGGTACCCCTGGGACGACTGCATTGCCGCCCTAATCACACCACTTTCTCAAGAAAAATAACCTACGTTTCAGACTTAAAAGCACCTAAGGGCAAAACAATAACACACACTGCCACACACACGCCTAGGTTACAAAGAATGTCCCCACTGTCTGCAATTTTTAATTTGCCATCAGTTGCTAAGGTTATATAGGCCCCTAGAGCCACGGAAAAAAGCGTGCTTACTATCCTCGCAATCAACCGACCGTCAATCTTTCTGCCTGCTAACAATTTGGAGGAAAAAAAATCCATAAACCAAACGGAAGACATGTGATCTCCTGCACCACGTACAAAGCACACAGGCGTTGCATGATAAAGAATTACCACCTTAGGGCTTTGAAAAAGCTCCGCTCGCGAAATACATACCGATGATGCCTACTTTGCTTTTGAAGGTAAGAATCGCTAAACCCCAAAGTCGATAGACCCCAATCCTCACAATGGCAGCAGAGGATTGCCTCAATGTGACTGGAATTTGAATAAGGGCCAGACAGTATAATAAAGTAAAAGGGCGGTGGATTAGAGAAATCATGCAAAAGGTAGGTGTGTCCCTTCTCCTAATACAGGAAAAAAAAAACACCTTCATTTTCTTCCCCATTTTAATCTTTGTGTTTGCACAGACGCAAGCTTGCCCTCTACACGCTTGTCAGAGAGGCGTCATCAATTACTCTCCCCTTGGTACACGCGCGCCCACACGGACACACACATGAGGCTGCACGTTTATCGCTTCTTGCTGCTGTACTCCTTCCATCTCGCGCCTATGCCGGTGCTGTGAACATCCATTCGTTCGTTTGTTGGCTCGTTTGCTTGTTCGCCATTTCGCTTTCTCTCTCAATTAATCATGAATCGGGTGCAAATTCCACCAACAGACGCGCGTGCACGCACACACCACCAGTAGCAGCGGTGGGAATATTACACACGAGAAATTTCACCGACGCTTCTGCCCATTTACTCTTGTCCACCACCACAACCGCCATCACCGTCGCCGTAGCAGTAGCGGCAGCAGCAGAAGCACCAGGAGCAGCAGTGGTAGTGCTACTGTCGGTGGCCGAGGTTGCGCTCTCGGCCACTGCCTTAATCTTTGCAATAGTCTACCGCCTTTGTAGACGGGGGTCTCGACCTTCGATTTCTAGTTATAGAAGTCGTCTACCTGGAAGTTCGACTAAGTATGGCAAACCACTGACACTCGAAAATCGTTCAACCACTGTGTTTGAGCTCAAACGTTGACCTGTGTCGACAGCTGTTCCAGGTAAGGTAACCTATAGCAGCTTAGCATAGGAAAACTCGTTAACATTAAGTCATTCTCAGATATTTTTACTATGATTATTTAGCCGAAATGGAAAAACTTGCTTTAACTCCACATGCCACACTTAAGTTACTGATGAATTAAAGAATGACTGAAAAGACGGCAAAACTCAACTCGCGCATTCCCTTTGAAGGAGTAGCCAGTTGACCGGAGGGTAAAACACCTCCAAACCCATTAAAGGAAAACGTGCGTGTGCATTTTACAAATGGAGTAGAAAGTTTTTGGCTGCAAACCTTGTCAAGAGAAGTGTGTGGGGAGGAGAGGGTGGAAGGCAATGCGTGGGCACGTGGCGAGTATTTATTGATTGGTGGATACCCAAAACACAAAAGGAGAGAGAGAGGAAGGAAGGTACTGAGGGAAGACTTAACTCGCTGACCGAATGAATTACCTTTGGTCTGCGTGTACGCTTATGTACGCCCCATGATGAAACCGATCCGACGATTGCCGCCGCTATGGTAGCACTAGCAGTCGTATTGCTAATTAAAAACGGAAATAGCGAAACCAAGACAGCGTGCAAACATGCACATCCACATGCCCGAACGTGACAACTGCCGCTACATCCTCTCTACTCCGTCAGGGCTCTGCTTAAGGGCTATTCTTAGTCGCGTCTGTGTATACAATTACAGCCGAAAACTCTGTTCGCAAACAGTTTTTCGCATATTTAACCATCGAAAGACCAATGACGATGAGAGATTTTTTCAAAGGAGGCAGGGACTACAAGGGACGAATTACCGCAGTATAAAAAGTGAATATCACAGATCCCTAATTAAACATTTGTAGAAGCCGAGGCAAACAAAGGGAGTTTGAATTGAGGAAAAAAGGAAAAGAAGCAAAAAAAGGGAAAGTGACTACCCACCAGTCTCACTGCCAACATCGTGAGGCCCGATGGAAGAGTGGTAGCGTGAGATGGAATTAGACGCACCTCCACCGCCACCATTGAGGTGCATGGAGGCAGCCATGAGTCCACTGTCAGAACGGGAGCGCACGCTGATCCCGCCCCGACTGCCACTCCTCGATCCGTCTGGGTTCGAGGGGCTGCCGTGGGTGGTGTCCTCAGTGTCCGAAGATTTTCGACTGCTACCACTGCCCGGTAGGGCCGGCGAGTGCTGTGTGCGACAAAGAATGAAAGCGTTTGCTAAGCCAGTGGTTCCCAACCATTTAAGGTGTTAGCATTTTTTTTTCAGGACCGAAGGGTTAACAGCATCATGACATACACAGGATGACACTTCTTCACTGCTACAGGCTGAGCGCTTGCCAACTTACGTGCTGCACTGTCGAACCCCCTAGGTAAGCTCCTACTCACCCTTACGCGATCCTGCCCACCTAACCCATCCATAAAGGTTCCCGGGACCTAGGTTGGGAACCACTGCTCTAACGACCCAAACCCACAGATTAAGCGCACACGCATAAGCAGAGACAAGAAGCAGAACAAAATGAAGCGTTCCATTGACCCCACCCACCTCCCACCGCCAGTACCTTGACCCGCAGAACTCGACCAAAACTAGTGACGCATTCTGCGAAAGGAGAGAGATAGAGGGAAGTGAGTCAAACGCATCCGGTGCAACGGAAAGGCACAGCGAAAGTGTGTGGACGCGGAAAGCGGAGCATATGCGACTAGTGAAAGCCGGACTTGCAAGCGTTTAAATACACATACACACACATACAAAGATGTCGTGATGTCCGCTATACCTTAGCGTTGCAGAGGGGCGGCCCGACAGTCGGTAGACAAATATTTATGGTCATTCTCTCCCCTCCTCTCTCCTCTTCCGTCGCTCATTCGCACTCGTTTGTGCGATAGCTCGAGCGGCTGCTAATAGCGTTTAAGCGGGACTGGTGATATATTGATGAGAGGTAATAATTCACGAAAAAATCGTCCCTGGTTCGCTCTCTCCCGCTCTCTCATGTACACACACACACACACACAACAGATGCGCGCCCAGGCATGTGTACGCACGCCCTGCACATGTGTGCAGGGGAAGACACCCATTAACACACACAAATGCGCGAAGGCGTCCACATATTTTTCTCTCGAACTTTCACTCTCACTTCTTTTTGGTCAGTCGCACACATTGCAGTTGCTGTTGTCGCTAGTGATGGCCATGGTGCCGTCTGTAACCAATGTATCGGCGTGCACATAAATACATATATTGTCAGGTTGTACCTTATTTCACCGTCCACGACAGCCCTGTTTGAACACGCTTCGCGCGCATCCGATGGAAGATTTTATCTCCTCTGTCATCTCCGCATGCATGACTGAGTCTTAACCACCCCTTTATCCACGGCTCGCGCGCTTTCGCCTTCTCTGGCTCCTCAAAAGTGAGTCAAGTGTTCAGGAAATGACACTTCTGCTCGCTTCGACAACACACAACATTTGTTTGTCCATGACATGACGCCTCTGCCAGAGAGGCACTCCGTTTGATTACTCATACGCGTATGCAAAGTGCTAAAGCAATGGGAGAAAGGGCAGCGGCGGGCAGTGTACCGTAAAAAATGAGCATACTATTACGCAGGTTGATTAAAGCGAAATTTCTGTGTGTTGTGCGGACGTGTGCGCGCACTTAAGCCAGCTTTGCTCTTGTAACATCAACCTAAGCCCGGGGATGAAAATAATGGGTTATTAGCGCAGTCAAGCTGACTTGCTGCCATTAATCCTATCAATTCGACTTTCCCTCCGCCTATAATTTACCCCCCCTCCCCCACCCCACTTCACCTCCTCCCCTCGAGGCAGGATTATCGCACTGAAGTTCACATTCCCCTCTACCAGCAAAGCCGGCCCGACATCCTTCCCACCCACCCACCTCTAAGCCTGTAAACTAGCAACGACTCAGATCTATAATGCCCGAAGAGTTGGAGGACCTAAGTGGATGGTGGATTTCAGGTTTGGTTTTAAAAAGTGCAGCCTATAAGCAGGACACCAAAAAAGGGAACATGCACTTAGTTAAAGGCAAGCACAAAAAAGTAGCAATACATAAGAAGCGGGAAAAAGTGAAAGGCATGCCAGCGGATTAAAATTTAGCATAAATGAGAGCCCTCCTAAGCGGACCTTAAATGAGAGACTGCTGCCGTTACCGCCAGTGAGAGAAAGAGGAAAAGACACGACTTGCCATTTATGATGAGATAGCTCTATATTGTATCATAATATTTTTTTCCGCCTGTGTGTATATGCATATATGTATAGAGTGACGTGCGCACATAGACACCTCTCTCACTCTCAGTTGCACGGATTTACCTTCAAGCCGAATTGCGTCGCTGCTGCTGCCGCTGCTGCCGCCGCCGCCGCTGCTGTAGCTGTCGAGACAGGATCGTTGACTCCAGCGGACGCACTGATCGACAGGCTGTCTCCCAAGTGGTGCTGCTGCTGTTGGTGGGGGTGGGAATGAGAGTGGTGGTGCGGATAGCTCCCCGCGCTCATTGGAATGTTTCCACCCCCGTTAGTACTTTTCCCACTCGCGGTATTGTATGTTGCTGCGTCGCGGTCACCACCAAAACCACCCGCAATTTGCTGTTGCTGCAACTGCTGCTCAGCTATGATTGACGTAGCGACATAGGCGGGGTTGGGCGGAGAGAGGACATCGGTGGTGGTGGGGAGAGACTGAAATGGAGGCCGTAGCTGGCCCATCATGGAGGCCTGATAAGCTACAGCAGCTGCTGCTGCAGCAGGACTTTCGAAAAAGGGATGACCGGTTTGGTCGGCGTAGCCTGGAGGGTACCGCCTTTGCGGGTCCTCCGAGTACATGGCAGCATAAGGGGAGGAGAAAGTGTCACTTGGTGGTGGATGGGGCTCCATCCCCGGGGGCAGGTAGGGAGGACGCATCTGACCATGCGATGCTGGAGGGGGACCTTGTGGACTGTTTGCTGACCCTGTTGAACCTGCGGACTCCCGATCCTCAACCATCAGGTCTGTTGGCATCCGGTTGCGCAAAAATGCGATGTACCGCTCGCAGAAGTTGTCACACAACTCGTGCACCTACAACCAATTAAGCAGATAAAAGTATTTGCATCGGCTGATCCCGCAATATTAAGCATTTGAACCTCACTATATAATGCTCCTTAGATAGAACCATAGCCTAAATTAGGTACAACATCCCGATCTGCGAATAAATCGTTTAACGGATATCGAATTTCTCTCCCAGTACAAGTAGAAGCAGAGGGCTGCTGCCGGTGAAAAATTTTCACCTGCAGGTTTATGGACAAGGACGTGTTAATTTCCGGAGTTAGAAGAGGGGAGGTAGTAGTATTAGTAGCAGACCCTCTCTGCCACTTTGTGATGTTTGGGCAGTTCCGGAATCGGCTTCCGTGACTACTGCTTCCGGTAGGAGCAGTCATAAAAGAACTCAACCATGTCACCTTGTGGCAGTTCTAACACCACCCTCTCGTTCTCTCCCACACACACCAATCCTCTTCCACCCTCTCCGCGCATGCGACTATGCTACTGTATGAATAAATTGACGAACTTTATTATGGGAGGAATTTCCGATTGTGATTTGATTTTGAGGTACAGGTGTATCATGTAAATCACACACTAAACCCACATGGAGCTAATAGGGAAACTAGATCCCTAAATCTGCCCATACATAACTCTTCCAAGTTTGGATGCAGCCAACAGGAACTAAGTCTCAACTTAGCTCAGCTATGACACCAACCTTTTCAATTTCGATGAGGTGAACCCGGAGCACCCGGATAGCTTGGATTATCTGTGAACCAAAATACAATATTAATGTGCATGGCTAAAAGTATCCATAGCAAATTTGGGAGACAACAACTTACCAAAGAATCGATTTCACTGTCTCCAGTCCGTGTTGACTTGTGACTTCGAGCGAACTAGAAAAGACCAAGGGAAGCATCACATTGAGAATACACAACCGACTGGGAATTGCAAATTACAGTAACTGAAGGGATTCATGTTAAGAGGCAGGTAAGTAGATGGGCAGATAGGCGGGTAACTAAAAATAGTGGTGACTCGGGAAACGAATGAGGCAGGAGGAGGACAAAGACTGATGAATGCCAAGCGAGAGTGGCACAATAACCTGTGCCCAAGCATAAACACGACAACCTGGCATTTAGTCACGGTTGAGAGACAGTGGCAAGGGCGAAGGGAGGCAGGGGTGGGGGATAAGGGCAGGAGAAGACCACGTCAGTAGCCTTTTCCTAGCCCTGTTTTTCCTTCCCAATGTTAGTCACTACTGCTACCAGATTGCACACGCACGCATCCACGCACACGTGCATTTCCATCAATCGGTGAATTGAGGGGCAAGGAGAGAGATATAAGGGATGGGGTATATGCATCGGCGTGTTGGGTTATAGGAGTGATTGACAAGGCACCTTGTTAAAAGAGGCTTTGAACAGGCACACGCACACACGCTGCGTAACACGTTGGCGACACGTACGCCCGGAAAGGCCCACCTTGAGGCTGTCCAATCAGCAGGATCGACCAGTGGGCTCTTCACGTGGTACTATTGATTTGTTGGGTGTCACAAATCACCCAACTTGATTGAAAGGTGTAGGCATGCACGGAGGCATAGGAAGTGGCAGGCGCAAAGACGCTTGCACACGTAAATAGCCATCAAGATCTAGTGCATGCATATGGGGGGAAAGTGTGCTAGTTCTTTAAGTGTCCATCACCACCGTGCGGAGTAAAGGGGAGATAAAATGCTGTAAGGGTTGCAAATTGTCTTCCCTCTTTCGAATCCCCATCAACCCTCCCACCCACCCTTGCACATGTTTTAGCGACATTGTAATTATATTTGGCTCGACCCAACCAAAATAGCTTCCGGTTCGTCGCCGTGCTGTCTGGATTCTGGGGAAACAATTGTGGAGCGGAAGTGTTTAGCGTAAAAACCTACAACCTTCTCACTTACATCTTTTCTATCGCCTTCTATTGCCTAATGTCCCAACATTACGCAGAAAAAGTGGCAATTAGACTAGCTCATTGTATAGCCCGATGGGGAGAGTCAATAATCGCAGAATTTGCATTTCGAAAATGGGACTTAAAGCACCCTGAGGGAGACGTGACCTCAAGTCGCACAGGCCTCGCCCTTTTGCCTGTTGAGTTGCACCCTCAAGGGAGAGAACTCGGCCCATATATCATCGGCGACAGGCGACGGCAATAAATTTCCCTTCGAATGGCGTGAGCTCGGCAAGTAGTGCGGGTTTGCTTGCGTGCGCGTCTGCATGCGTGTGAGCGAACGACCGAACGAGGGAGTGTAAAAGAGAATGGGTCTCGTATTTTATGAGAATTGAAAGAATGGACAAACCCACTCATAAAAAACAAGCATAGCTATAGCTACAGACAGCTAGGGTTGTCCTTCATCCTCCATTTTTATATGGTTAGCCATCTGCCTCTAAGCGCCAAGAAACTCGTCGGGACGATGGAGATCAGGTATTTCTGGGTGGTTTCACGCAATAAATTGGTCTCAAATTGTAGAAATAGCATCTCAAAATAGTTGTAGCTCGAATTATTGTGATACATGATTAACAACCGTTAGGTGAGTAATATAGCTCCCCTATTAATGCTACTGCCTAAAATGGGTAGATCTTGCAGTACTAGTCTAGAGGATTGACAATCCGCTTACTTGACGTATGCGCAAGATTCGCCAATCTGCCGTTTTGATGCCATAAAACGGAGGGCCAAATAGAGAAGCCAAATTATCTGTAGGACAAATCAATCGTGCTCCCATCCGTTTGAGTGAGGATGTCATACAAAATTTATCGCTTGCTCAAAGAGTGGCATCTCATGACACGCCCAGCTCTGGAGAGTATCATCGCTTTACTGCTTGCGTGGTATAATACATAACCCTCTGGCCTACGCCTCCTCCATATCGTAACGTTCTGGTTGGCCTGGTTCTATATCTGTACATCCCCGCTTACATACACACGAGGGCGGATTTGTGATGGCCATCGTTCCTGAAATTGGAATCGGCCTCATTCTCGGATCATGCCGGAAGCAGTGGTGGTGGTGATTGTTGGTGGCGGTTTTTGGAAGTCAGTATTACCAGAGTCCAGTCATAGTATGCTTACTTTATCCGACCGAATCATACACATGAGTAATTAGAAAAGTAAGGCACTATTAAAAACCTCCTTTCAGGAATCTGCGATAGTCGGACGGGTAAGCTGGCAACCATTGAAGGATAATAAAAACGAAGAATAACTCACGTTCTCCGCGAAGGCGAGGATATCGTTGTCAAAAGAGCCAGAGGACCAAACAGTCGGTTCGCCAGCGGACATCGGATTCTGCTGGAGACTGTCGGCCGACGTCCTCGAGTTATTCCTATCACGTGGAGTACATGTGGCCAGCTCGCATTTCTCGAAAATTAGCACCAGTAGGGGATAGAGCGGGTGGCTGTAGGGAAACGGAAGAGATGCATTTGACTACCAATGGACTAACCATTCGTAAAAAGGGTACAAGAGCTTTAAGCCAACCCTCCAAACATAGAGCGGACCTAGTTTCAATGGTGTGATTCATGGAGGATAGAGAGGAGTACAAAATCGGTGGCTGTGTGGTACGGGGAGCATGACAGATGCTCCCTTACCCCAAAGACGAACCAAATTTGGTCCGGCTGGCGAGAAAGTGGGACATTAGCCGGCCACTGGCCTGCCTGCCTGCCTGCCTCTGTGATGGTTTTACCTCTGGCGACGGCCCCAGCATCCAGCTCCTGTGTTGTGGTGACTATGTGCTAACGCAAATAGGCACGCATCCACACAAACACAAGCGCATTAGTTCTCCTTTATTCGGCGGGATGAGTCACTAAGATAAGGCGACCATGACGGTGGTAGCCGTCTCTTCCTCCATCTCTTCTGCTTCCTACTTCCATGCTTGCATGCGTGATGTATAATATGCATCCAAACCGGGCTTGAACCGTATCCAGGCTCTGGAATTATCGAGTCTACGATAGATGGGGGCTTTTAACCCAATCACCCCTTGGGCAATCGATGCAAAGACGAGGTAAGGTGATAGGTGATGCATACTTGTTGTCAGCACATCGCCATTATCTCAGCACCGCTACCCCGCAAAGAGAGATGAGAGCTGGAGGACTTCATATTTTGGTATGATGAGTCAGGCCTGGGCTCTGATAAAATCAACTACCTATCACGGTAGGCAGGTAGTAAGCAGGCAAGCAAGCAAGCCTAACCGCAAACCCCATCTAGGTGGAGGGGCTTAGAGAACAGAGCTTTCCTCGCCTTTGCTGCATAAGGTCCCCACTAAATCTTAGACCCAAAGATATTAGTCTAGATGAACGAAAAACAAGACTGTCCTGCCTTGATTACATCAGAATAGACACTTACTCATAGATGGCCTGCTGTGATGCAGCCAAAGGCGGTGGGGCGTAGGATTGGTCGGCAAATTGTTGACCTCGGGCATGTTGCTGCATAGAATGGGACATCCTAGGGTCCACCACCCGACCTTGACCGGTGGGAGTAGGAGGCCGGTTGCCCGTGAGGGAATAAGAGGGGGTTCTGGGAGAGTACAAGGTAGGGGGTTGGGGCTGGGGGGTGGAGGGGGTAGTGGAAGCGTCAGCGGGAAAAGGGGCGGGTGGGGGCTGAAGGAGGGGATCTGTCGACCTTGAGGTTGGATAGCTAGCGCTGCCATGGTGTCTCGTGGATGTGGATACATCATTTGCAGAGCTGCTGGGTGGAGTTGAGGTGGAACTCTCACTGGCACTGTTAAAGTGCTGTTGCGACGTTTGTTGAGACTGCTGTTGCTGCTGCGACTCGTCAGGTGGAATCAGATGAGCAGTGTCCGCGGGGGGGGTGTTCTAAAGAGGTAAGAATCAATTGGACGCTAGTAGAGGCAGTTAGATACACATAAATGGGTAAACTTTAAAAGAAAGGGGATAACATGCACCCAGTTTATGAGAGTCGGTACTATGGAGCCTTGCAAAAAGGCCCTACGCTACGAAATGCACGTATGCGCACGCACATGGAATGCTGTTACACGGAGTGCCTCTGTGCGTATGCACACAAGCACGCACTAGTGTTTGATCTGACCTTTTCCCGTTGTACATTAGAGAGACTGCCGGATGAAAGCTGGTGCCAGAGCTTTTTTTACCCTCTGCACCCAGAGTTTACACGCCAAACTTACTTTGCAGGTCAGCAGGATCAAACACTCGCGCACTGGCGTGTCCCTAATACTTGGATAAGTATCTTCGACTCCCATGGTAAACTACGGAACTGAAAAAGTTTGACGGATATCTTAAGGCCAGTTTTCGAAAGTTAGCAGCTGGCAGAGGGGATGGATGGATGTTAGTGAATTGGTGCAGATTACGAGCTGCTGACACTGACTACCAAGCGCACAGAGGGCAAAGTAGGGTGAGGAAGGGAGATTCGAAAGTAGAGATAGATGAATCGGTACCTTCCATTTGGAACGCCGAAAGCAGGACAGGAGGAGGCGAAACGACCGGTGACGTTTGCTCGCAGACCGCACGTGTGAGCGCGCGCACCACTCCTGATTGGTGCATCATGCAGCGCGCACTCACTTCCGCACGTGACCGGCACGTGAGCGCGTTTTTTAACTGTACTCACAACAGTCGTGATTTGATTTTATGGAGGAGATGGAGTCCGAGGGGTGCAGAGTTATGACTGACGCGAGTGACAGGACCGGTGTAATTACTATCGCAAGAACAACCGACTGACCCACTTCACTCTAAGAGGACTACCTCCCCACCAATGCTCGATAATTAGTACTATGCCTATTTACATGCCCTATGTCCATGTATGGTTGTAATATCTACTGTGACCATGCTCTATTTCAGTAACTGTGCTATAAATTTATTAAGCAGAAGCTGTACGTGGACCGTGATCACCTTCTGGACTCGGAAGAGATAAGGAGACTTTGCAATTGAAAACCAGCCACACCAATCTCAATTCATCAAACAAATGGCTGACGAGTAGGGACACAACAATCCACTCAACAGAGCAGACCCAGTAAATCTAATTGTTTGGAGTCCATTTCTGAGATCAAAAAATATGCCATAGAGGGAGCGAGTAATTGTATAGTATGTCCGGTTTCTCGATCGCCTCCTCTTCCTCCTCTGCCTAACGGCTCAAACGGACATTATTTTAAAGGCGAGCGCGAGGAGTCGAGGCTACACAGCCAGCAGAGCGATAACAAACAGAGGGCCCTACAGAAAAAAGGTACTCTTGTCAGAGAAGAGAGTCAACTACATACATGTGCATGGACCCGAATCTAGGGCTAGCGGAGGTACGTGCTAAGGTGGGACGCTCAAACAAAGGATCAATTGCTCTCATTTCAAAGTAACATTCTCAGTCCATGTTAAGCGTTCACCGAGCTCTGTGCCTTGTCAGCCTAATTATGGTCGGGAGCTTGCGGACAGAGGTAGATGCGCACCCTTCTGTTACCCATGAACTCCGTAAGGCCTCCTAAGGACTGCCGTCTCGTCCTAGGGCTTCTAAACACTCATCCACAACATAAACTCAGGGACAGATCAACTGCTTATTTGTAAGCCATCTTTTTCTAATCCAACGAGCATGTACATGTTTGTGCATGTGGCGTTTTTGCAATAACGGGCTACCCATCCTCCGATCTAAGGTCAAATAAAACCATAGGGCATCCTGCGCAATGCAAAGTCGATAGGGATCAATCTTTTTTTCCTCCTCGGCTCCTGATTTAAGTTTCTTTTAATTTTTTTACATCACACTCAGGGAAAGAGTCACGTAGAGGTTTCTTTTAGCCCAACTCCGTTGGGAAATGATTTAAACAAAATGGGATTAGTTAGCCGGGTGAGAGAGGGAGGAGGATTTGTAAACACCTCCGGTGGCATTTCACCCGCGCTCTGAAAGTTCTTCCTAGCCCCCGCCCCAATCGTGTGCCCCGGTGGTGGCAGGGCTTGTGAGACAGTGTGTGCGTGTGTGTGACTAAGCTTTTGAAACGAATAGGTCAAGTGTGTGTGCTGACTAAAAATGCGTTATCTTCCGACAACTTTAATGCAACTCGGACATTGCGCAGCGTGGCATTTTTCCCATCTCCTTGCTCCAGCGTTTCCCGACGACAGAGCTCCAAGACAGTGGACCAGAACAATGGTCAAGTCGGTCAAAAGTATGCCATGTTTCAACCTTAGGGACTGAAAATGACTACCCCAACCCTCGAGGGACAATTACCAGATTTCCTCTTGAATGAATTGCTGAGCGCTAATACCCTGGATCAGGATAAGGCACGAATTCAGGAACCAACTATTTGTGATAAGCCAAAATAAGTATAAGTGCTATCTTTGCGGAAAAGGTAAAAAAATTCTTAGAGGAACGCATACTATTTTGCCTATAATAGCTGAATCAAACAAAAATCAAAACTTAAAAGGATGGCTCAGAACGCCTGCATCTTTGAAGGGTAACATACGTGAATCAAGGGGCTGCGATGGGAAAATGGACCTTGAAGGCCTTATATGGGAGTCGGAGAAGTAGTCCCTGCTATCAGAAGGGAAACAGAAGCACAATTCGGGCTGATCGTAGCGCGTCTTCCAAAAGCTCACTCGGTCTTAACGCGCTCCCAATGTGTCGATAAGCAGTGGCATATTAGCACTCACCATTCTGTCATAAAACCGAAAAAAAGATTGCGCTCTCCATTTGATAGCTCATGTGAGGAGTACAGTCATCACAGTCCCTGAATGAGTGCAGGATAATCGCCGCCTATAAATTTGTCGATTTGCGGGTTTTAAAGAACTCACGGCGTCACGTTGAACCCGACTCCAGTAAAGCTCTATGACTAAGGACTAGAAGTCAAGAGGATGATACAAAGACGCGTCTTTGCGATCAAAAAGCGCCAGGAATGCCTCAGTGAATAAGAAAATTGTTTATCTGCCACATATTGCTCGTGTGATTGATAAGACTATCACCGTTTTTCGAGGAAGTCAACTTGTAAATTTCATTTGCGAGTGAGTAGCAGTTTCCTGTGCAAAAATTACGCTGTAATTTTCTGGGACTCAAACATGCACGCAAAAAATTATAATATTCCCTCTTTTTGAGTGAAGGCAAAATATTAGTGGATACCTCAGTACCAAACAAGCTTCTCGAATAGCAAATTTTCGGCGAATTCTGAACCTCCTACTCTCAATACCCATAGACTGAATGGAAGACGGATTAGAGTGGAAACAACAAACCTCTCCTACTATGTGAACGAGCGTCCTTTTGTGTACACATACAAACGCAGACAGGCGGAAGCGCAACCTACACATGACGGATTAATTATCGATCAAACGGGAGCAGCAGAAGCATCAGCAACAGCAGAAATGGAGGGAATGAGACAGAGGGGTAGCAACCAAGGGAGACGCATGTTGACGGGGTGGTGTGTAATATTGGAATGAGGTGTCCTTAGAAGACGCGCTTGCCTAACTCGGCCGGCCGATTGGTCGGTCGGTCAGTGAACGGAGCATGGCATGGCTATGCAGCACCAAAATATGGGTGGCTCTTCGAGAGCATGATGACCACACACACGCACTCAAGGGTTCACACAGGAAGATGAAATACAAACCCCAATCACAGCTGCACACACACGGGGACGCACCAAATAAGTCACAAAGACGTAGTAGACTCACTGGGGTCTGTGCAACTTGATGATTGCAAACAAATTTCTCGTGGAGTTGAGCCTCACTGCTGGACACAGGCACATACGAAAATGAGTGTTCGACTCTATCGCACCTAACGACGCACACTCGGGGCTAGTGATTTATGCCCCGAGTTTGTTTTAAAACAAATAAAAATCTCGGGAATTGCTTCAGAGGTAGGGCGAAGATGAAGCCTCAAAGTTGGGCGCGCACGCGCGCGCACGTTTTGTGTCTGGACTCATTTAGGCCAAGATTAAGATGGAGGACGATGTGCTTATGTGTTTACTCATTGTCTAGACATGTTAACTTATCAGTGAGGGTAGGACAGAGGATGGGATAGGAATGGTCGAGGGCCCCAGCATAGAGCACTGAATCATTGCCGTCGCATCGGTGGTGCGTATTGACAAACTCACGTGCGCATACCTCCCAAACTGTGGCAGTGCCTACAATCAGAGTGCCCTCGAGGGACAAATTTGTCAGAGCCGAGGGGCATAAAGTTTAATTGTGAATAAAAAACTACCCAAGGACTTTGCTGACAAGGTCGAAAATCGGCGTGTTTAGCATACACAGAAGGGCAGGTTGATGACTATGAGGAGCACAGGTTCGTTTAAAAAAAAGCAAGATATGCACTTGAGCAGGCGTACCGTCTGCAATTTTAACACTTTGTGGGGGATTTTTAATGCGTTTTAGAGTAGGAAACTTATCCAGTTAAGACTCTGGGTTGAAAATGCTATCCTTTAAAGACCATAAAATAGTTCATTACTTTTTTAAATGAGAGACCTCCATTTTAGAATTGGTGGAGGAAAGTACTACAGTTATTGTGGTCATGGCTGTATTCAATGGTAAATAACAACGTCAACTCAAAAAGCTCATAAACATGACTTGAGAAATAGTTTTGATAATTTGGAAGAAAACGAAGTGAGGCTATTGACTCCAAAAAAAAATCTCAAGAGAAACAGGTGTGATGGCTCGGTCGGTAATGCGAAGCACCTGAGTCCCAAATCAAGACAATGGGCCAGACGTTACACATATTAAAGAAATGGGCTACCTAGGCAAGGGAGAGTGAGTGTTAGGAAGTGGGGGCACTATATCCACCAGCTAACATGCAGAACCATTGATCTCTTTACTCAGTGGCTACTTCCTATTACGAGGATGAGATAATCCAACCCATTAATGCAGCCGTTTCCACTCCTCGGAGGTGCGTGTCAAGTGTCAAAGGGAAATTAGTCACTTATTTTGACAATTTACAATGCCACTGACGGAGAAATACATGACGTCTAACTGCTCGAGCAAACTGTTATCAACTAAAAGGCAGATGATGTCAGGCGTTTGAGAGATGAGGTTAAACATTCACTCTATTGTCCAACGAACTTGGAGAAATCAGTCAGCGTGTGGGCATGGTGGAGGGACAAAAAGCCAGACACGAAATGGGAGGGGAAAAAGCCTTCTGCGGTAGTAGCAGTAATAAATTCATGTGGATGAGAGAGAGAGAGAATGTGTACATATGCGTGACAGGAGGACTAGCTGGAAACGGCCGACAAAACATCAGCCCCTCTTCAAATCGGCCAACTGCGTAGCAGCAGTGGCAGCAGCACGATGATCAACAAAATACGCTAATCAAACTATCAACTTGTGCCACTGACAGAGGAGAGTCGTAGCAGTCTCCTCTCCCTTCGCGACTGCTACTCTGAAGTGTCGTTCCACTGACCTAGTGATGATTTAAGATGTGAACCGATCGCACGAATCATGGGTATATTCCGTTTCTTTCCGGTGAGTTTGGTCCAGTGCACTAATGGGAGGGACTCTCGTTAGCTTAGCACGTCCATCTACCGCTTTCTTGCTCCCTCTCTCTCGGAAGCCGACTGGTAGAACAAAGGCCCATAAATTTTCCCCACGGACTCGCATGGCTATCCGCTAGCTAGGCTCTGCCCCAAACCGCAAACGCGTTTGTACTACGTAGAGGACTCAAGTCTTTAAAAATCGTAAACACAGAAAACCTTAAGTGGAACAGTAAATCACTGCTATGCCAGATTGAAGTAATGCCAACGCAAGTGAAGTGCAGCACAAAGTCATGAGGTGAAGGAATTATCACAAGGAAATACCACTGACGTAAGCGTGTGATATGATTGCATGAACGGTAGCGAAATGATTAATATCACCGAAAGTATGCGACCCCGAAAGGCAAGGAGGGGATATCACTGACCCAATGGAGGAGAGGGGTGAAACAACGACTGTTCCCCATCATTCAATAGCAATTGGGGTCTTAGTTCAATATTCACCCCCCTAGCATCTACTTGGGCTAAAGGCCTACGCAGGAACGAAGTTTGCCCTTTCAGTGAGGCCATTACGTGTACTTCGTGTCTGTAGACAGCGTGCGCAAGCGTGCAGCAATCATTTTTCCATCATTTAAACTTTACTCTCCCTTCCTAAAAACACAATCCCCGCCATCCCAGCTAAGCGGTTTTGTGCAAAATTAAATCAAGTAGGCAAAAAAACCAAAGGCTCCAGCTGTGTGCGACAGGGAACTTAAACGAAACACTTGGCTACAGGTTTTTAAAAAAGGAGGCACGTACCTCGGGGCCTTGGGAATTGTCCATGTTCCCATTATTACTAGAACCGCCCGAACCTCCACCTGCGCTCCCCATTGATTCCGGCATGTTTGGGCAATAGCCGTTTTCGTAGCTGTTGCAGTCCGTATAGGTAGTCGAGGAAACTGGCAAAGGGAAGAGAGAGAGCGGTTTTGAAGGTTTATTGATGACCGTTGCAGCGGAGTCGATAACTAGGAATTGGTAAACATGTAAATCAATCACGCGACAATTGTCTCCCTCGCCTCGCTCGCTCTTCGCCTGACAAGGATATCCACAGTGCGATCTCGCTTCGACCTGTCAAACAGACGCGCGTGTACACAGACACATGCACACACACACACACGAAGAGAAGTTGACGACGAAGACCAAGACAACGACGTCGGCCAGCTGTCAAAAGCGCAAACTATCACACACACACACCCGCGTTGATAGATGACTTGCGCTGAAGTGATGCGCCCGCGTATGCGTGTGTATGTGTCTACTACTGGTCAAGCAGCATTTGTCAAAACCCCGCGTGCGTACGCATACGTGCGTATGTGCATGCAACCAAGAAGGAAAGTCGTGCACACACACACAGCCAGGGTGTAGACAGGGCTGTCTGACACGCACACACACTGACGCACATCCATCAAGCGTGTGCATGCACACCTTGCAGCTGTGTTGCGGCCGATCCACCAATGGTGGACCAACAGACTACTATACTGTGCGCTGATTGGCTCGCGCCGTCTACACCAATAAGGACATGCCTGCACGCGGTAGAAGCGTAACGTTCACACACACATCCGCACGCACAGACGCACGCTTTTCTTTCTCACTCCCGCGCTTTTTACCCTCTTCTGCTGTCTCGATTCTTCTTCCTCCACGCGAACGTACACACGCACCCACATGGCCATACACACACCTCACACGTCTCTTCCTGTCTCGCCCTCTTTTTTGCGAGTAGGTGCGTGTGCGTGTGGACGTGCTGCCACCCGTATGCCACGCACTTGCACTGCGTTGAAGTGCACGGACAAGTTTGTCTGAGTATGTGCACGTCAGCGAGTTTGACATGTGAGGAGGAAGATGTTGCAGAGTCAACAATCTCGGCGGTAGTCTCGCTCGACTCCCATCATTTTCTGTGGCAATCTAAAATACACTGGCATTTCCAATTTTTCCAGTACATTGCATCACTTCAGTAATTTGTTTAAATCCCTGCATGGATCTGGAAAATACAGAGCTGCGTAAACTTTAAGACAAAACCATGTAAAAGGGAGTCTGAACCAGTCTAAATGAAGAGTGGGGAATGATTGAAGGTACCTACGAGTTGTCAAAAAAGAATTAGTTTTGTCCCTTAAAAAGAAGGACTTTCCCGAAAAATATATGCAAATAGCATTTTGACTAAAAAAGAGTCGGGTTGTTCGAGTGGGTGCAGTGACTATCTGCAGGACTGAAGTACGGGCACTTTAGCTTGCTAAAAGGAGAATTATTTCTAAATTTCTACAAAAATTAGCCAGGTTTTGTTTGAAGACAAAGCTATCAGTGTCAAGTTTGGCTCATGAAGGCTAATAGGCCGGGAGTCAGTGCATGGATATAATATTCATAAGGAGAGCAAAACGTACGTTAACACCTTTTTAAGCGGAGACAGTACATCTAGCTTCGCCTCGGTGACAGAACTGTGCTTGTGTAGTGGAGATCTCTGATCTCCAAACAACCTGACTACGGCTAGCTCTGGAACTTGGTTTAACAAGGAAAGTAGAGCGATTCACCGCCAACTTTCAAGGCCATGCTCGAACATGAGGCCGCATGGTAAAAATGGCGTCGAAGGCTTAAAAAAGCCAGAGGGACTCTAGAAACAAAGCTAAGGTGTGGTCAAAGCATCAATTCGTCCAAAAAGCGGCACCGATAAAAAGGAAGAAGAAATTAAAGTTTCGCTCGAGCTGGTGTGTCAGGTAGTCTAAAACATCTATGTAAAAACACCGGAGGAGGCCGTGTGTCAGTAACTCGTCTTGTGTGTGTGTGTGCGGCTGTGTGATGAGAGAGGACAAAAAAGGCCGCAGGCGTGCCGTGGCGGCAGTTTCGAAAATTGACAAGTGACGGCTTTGTTGTTGTGGCTTCGTCCCCTGCGATGAAGTAGCACTAAACAAATGGGAGGTGGTTGAGTAAACAATTGTTGGGAGCTTCGTTTTTTGACCCTCACCTATCAAGATAAACTTCTGGTGTCTCAGCGCCACAAGTGTAAGTGATGGATATAAAATCCAGAGCAGGCAGAAACGAACACCGCAAGCTGATTACATTTACAAATAACCGAGTTGACTACGAAACGCATTCTTAAGGTCAAAAAATAGTTTTTAAATAGTTGAAAATAGACATTAAAAATCACTTAAAATTCTACTAAAGGTAGGATAACCCGAGGAGGCAAACTTCTCGTCGTATTGGTCATGAAACATTTAGGAATTAATTTTACTGCTGGCGAAGATATAAGGAGTAAACATGAGATTCTCTAAAAGTATTGTGAAAGAGATTGACACAAACGCTCCACTCTTCCATACGAGGACACGCTTTCCAGTTCGAGAAAGTCGGAGTTTAACACTGCGTTTAAAAGGGAACGAATTTCACTTATTGTTTCCTCGAGCCGATGGAATATCTCCAACTTAAGAGAAGCCAGTTGTAATAAAACTGTTGTTTGTAAACAGTGATAAATCAACGGCTTAATGGTTGCATGCATGGGTGGGAGAGACTCAAACCTGAGAACACTGAGGAATCACGACCAATATCTACTGAAGAGGTCTGTGCGTGAGTGTGTAAGGGGGATGCGTGAGAGTATGCACACAAGCCAGCCAATCAGTAAGTGAGAGATCGGTGCATTTTTAAGAGGAAACAGGTGGCAGATGAAAGGAGAGGCGTCACCAGATTGAATAATATTATGCAAATAGTGCTAAAGAGCGTTTCATGGCAGTCAGTGGACCTGTCTCAGACATCAAGATAATTGACAGAGAGGATAAAGCCGCTTTAAGAAACCTCTTTACGTAAATGTGCTCTTATGTGATGTGTTAGGGATAGAATAACTAAGACAGCAAGTAACCTTCAGTGCCGGGCCTGACATTAAGGTTAGCGTTCAGGACACGTCTTCTACGCAATTCCTCATGCATCTCATCTAGACACACATCATCACCTGACAGGAACATCAAATTACTGGACAGATCGCTGGCCAAACAGTTATTCTCACGATTCTAATATCAGCTTCTTTAAATAGCATAAACAATCAATTGTTAAATATGATCCAAAAAGGGTCCAAGGTGCAATTTTTAAGGCAGATGCGCGCCTGTTTTTGCTTCCTTACCTTTTCTGAATCAACGGGCATGCCACTGTTTAATTTGTTGGGTTCCTGCTTCTTTGGTGAACCTACGAATTTTTGTCACTGATGCTGTGTTTGTGTGGGGTGGAGCGGAGGACGTAGAGGAGGCGAGGTAAGGCAAACAGCTACCAAGTTACAACTTCATCAAATCCATTTTTAGAGGGGAATACACTGATTTATACTATGATACCTTCACATCTCCACAAAGAAGTGGGTAGAAAATGAATTTAATCGGTGTACTCTGACTACATGACGAATTAAAAATGTCAGATGATCCAAACCTACTTAATTAATAACATTTAACAAATAAGCTAAGTATGTGTTACGAAACTGGAAAAAGCAGCCAACTGTGGAAACAATGTGTATGCACTAACTCATTTATAATATCCATCCGGACCGTGGAATGCCATCACAAAATTGTTTTGTACTATGTGGGACGATTTCGGATCCACCAATGTGATAACGGCACTCGGAGTTAGTTCTAAGGTCGTTAAACAAATAACAGGTCACCAAGGTTAAATCCTAGCCAATAATTTGTGCCTGAAAATGAACCAGTTAACGTAAATTTAATCAAACCGTAACAGATCTGTCTGTCTTAGAGAGGAGATCAGACTAAGTATACCCGAGCTCTAAAAGAAGTCTGCGTAATGGTGATAAAATAATTTGGTGAGTCCACGAGTTGCAGTTTTCTCGTAAGATATCTATTTTCGTGAAATTTGAAACTTCACCACTGAAATTCAATCCGAGTTCAATGCAAAAAGTCCGAACAGTGGTAAAATCTACTGGCATCAGCTTCCAGACCAGTCAGTAAAATAGGTCTACACAACTGGTGGTTCGGACTCTCCTTAAAAAGAATAGACACTTACGAATTGATTAAAGAGGGCTTAGTATGCGTAAAATCGATGTTATACTTATTTAGATAGAAAAATGGATTATTTTTCTGTCCACTTTAGGCCATTTTGACAAATGGTATAGGTAAATAAATTAGAGTGACAAGAGCAGCCAAACTCATACACACACGTCATGGGTGAGCGACAGGGGGGAGGGATAAGAAAAATGAATACAGCGACTCAGGTAATGCGGTAACATCTGGATGTAGGGGGATCGTTCCAACTCCATCCTCCAACCAGATGGCTATCAACAATTATCTCCCCACTTAGGTCACACAGCTGCGTAATGGGATCACGCGATTTTCCACATTACCAGTAATGAGCACAGAGCGAGAAGGATTGTATAGAAGGTATCAAACATAAGCGAGTGATTCTGGGGGAATTCGCAACAGAGCAGGTTTTAGAACCGCCCTGACCCGACTTTCAAGTCTCGGTAAGGGGACGAGACCACAAAATTGAATTGGTAAAAATCCTCCCTGTAATTAGTGCTGCTAAGCCGTGACTTGAAATTGCTGCCTGAAGATCTGATGCTTCTCCACGGAAAAATGGACTAAGACTATCCCAGATGGACAGCTTGGTACTATTAAAATGACAACGAAATGAAAAGGAGAACTAAACATGGGGACATACTTTCGAGAAAACGCTTTGCACTTATGAAAATGTACCAAACCAGCTGGCATACAAAACGTAGCAGCTGTAAATTATTGTTCAAGCCTAAGCAACAATTTGGTTCATTTTCGAACAGGACGTGGCAGTCAAACCCCTCAGAATCGATGAGGTGCCCAGCCAACAGCTAAGTTTAGGAAGTCGTGCCACTGTAATTGTCTCCACTTCCTCGTAGATAACCTCCTTTTAATATTGTCCTGATGACCGAAGGAGATAAGCAATTCGAAAAATATCCAAGTATGGCATTCGAGACAAAAAGCATGGTAATGCAGGCTTATTACAGCGAATCAACCTCCACATTGATGACACGAAGCCTTACCCACGTCACGTGAGCAGCTACCAGTCTGAGCCTAACGTATATTTATAACAGAATCATTTCTAGCCCTCCTAAGTGATTTGGATGCCAAAGTAACTAGAATTTCTGGCTCATGTTTCAGTAAAATACATTGACCATCCACAATGAGTCCGTTTCAAAGAGCAGCTGGATTTGTTTTAAAGGACAGGAAGGGAAATAAGTTAAAAACCCGGAAATTTATTTACCCTGCTATTGAAAGGATAGATAGTGTAAGAGAAGTGTGGTTTAGTGTCGTAGTAGTATAGTGTCTACTTAGACAGCAGATGAGAGATTAGCATGACGGAGATACCACCGCACCAAGTGTAGATCGAAGGGTAAACTGGGTGCAACTGTTTATGCAAGGTGCGAGACATTGACGTAATGTTGCCACACTGTGTGGCCACTCAATCAACTGACAATTTGGGACTATCGAAGACTCCTTTTATCGGTCGGATGACACCCTCCAGGATTATGACACTCGGGATGCTATCATGTTGTGCGTACAAATGGGGTTGGTCGGCTGTTTTTACGGGAGTGGTAAAGAATAAACATCATAATGCCAAGATGTTGATCTAAATCTGACTGACAGGTTCCGACGATTGACAGGCCCGAATATTGTCCCATTACTTTTCGTGATGGATGGAATTTCATGCGAATGAGTGGGAAAAATGGGGTTGTTGAACTCAAATTTGTCATGTTTCCCTGTAATTTTTCATCATCACGATAATTGTGCCCACTGCATCATTCCAGTAGATAGTACTAGACAATGGGCGTTTATATCATCGTAGGAGATGCCGAACCTTAACAACTTGTTTACTTAATCTCCTTTGACTAAATTTGTTTGGCTTAGTGACAGTTGATCCACTTTGTTAATTTTTTCGTGACAGCTTTATTTTGAAGTTTATTAACTGAACTAGTCATTTGCTTTACCAGACAACATCAAAGGGCGGTCACTAAGCGAGAGGTACCCATCTCTGTTCTTGAAACGGATATTTAAAATAATAGAAAAGAAATTTTAATACTAATAAAGGTAAAATTTTACGAGAGCTTTAATTTAGCTCTTTCTGCAGTAAATTTACTGCACCTCAAATCAGGTTCAGAATGTCTCGAAAGAAGGTATCGATAACTACAAATGTAGGAAATAATGGAGGATATATGGCTATATGGTGCTCAAAGAGGCTTTATTTTGACACTTTCTTAATCGTGGCCACTGCGGGCCCTGTTTATTAGCCTTCTTTATTTGAGTAAGGTAAAATTAAGGGCATGAGTGGAGGAAGTTTGTAGGAGGACGCATCGGCAATCTTCTGATCTTGCAACTGACTCACTCGATACAGTAGCATGGGGATGAATTATGGCAAGCATAAAAGTAGAGAAGAGTGTTTGCTGGAGTTTCACTGCTCTAGTAGTGCTGTGGTATCTTGACGCGATGGAACGAAGCATTTAAGTAGGCTTCTACGTAGTTGTTGCGTTAACATAAGGCAAAGTGGTCCTATAAACTCCATTATCCTGCCACCAAGAGTTCAGACGTTTCACATATTCTTGCTCTCCCAAAGAGTACCGGTTACATGATGAGTTTTTTGGGGGCTTTTACTAAGTAGAAATGAGGTTAGCAACCAGGAGACAGTTCACATTCTGAGATGAGTAGGCTCGCCAGTTGTCAAGACTACTTCTGCAGCTAATCATGTCACCTCCAGAGTCGATACTACAGTCGCCTTGAAAAGGACATCATGCATACACACCTTGATAGATTGCTGTGTCGAAGCCAAAATTCAGGTCCAAACACGTGAGTGTGTGTGGATTTATTGTGACCCAATGCGCCGTGGCTTGCAAGAAAGATGAAGATAGAGAGAGAGAGAGCATCGCGCACAAAACAATGAAGAATTTACCGCTCGCGGTGGTTGCGTAATGACTCTCGTCGTTAAGTTAGTTTTGTATGCAGCTCCTACGGGTTTACTCCAACGCACACTCGCACACACACGATGTCTAAAGTGATCCAAGATTTATGGCGTTTAGTCTGACGTGTGGACTGGACTGGGCTGGTCATTCGAGGCGGCTTGGGGGCGAGGGGGCGACATTTGCACAATGATCGTTTTAATGATAAGGCGTGGTCCCTTTCCATTCCCTTCGTGTGATGATGCCTCATTTATTCCCCCTCCCTACTCAATAAAACTCTGTCGCATGACTCACAAGACCCTCTCCCCAATACCATCATTACTATCCCATTTACCTTTTTAACAGCCTCAACAGTTTGGGGGGCACTGAGACCTTGGAGCAGATTAACACCCAAAATCCTGAATAATTGCGCATCCATAACTTAATCTGTTGGTTTCTGACCTGTGCGATTGGTAACCGCTTGTCACCACCGCGTTATGGGATGGTGATCTAAGGTCAAGATTTCCTACTACTCAACCAATGTGAATTTAAGCCGAAGTCTTAGATAAAACGATTTACTTTTGTTGTTTCTAGGGCGTTGAGAGCGGCTTAGTCTGTAGCTCTGGTTTAGGTGTAAAGGCAGGATCTAATTATGTGCACCAGACACGGATGTGCGCAGGCATGTGAATGGGTGCATATCAATCAAGGTAACAACAACATGGGCGCTCTCTGTTTACACTCCTCTGAAACGGAATGTTAGAGAAAGAGAAAGCGGCGGCGGTGGTGAGGTTTGTGAGCGCGTTTGCGAGAGAGAGATGCTCTACAGGAAAGAATTCTGTCTAGAAAAGGCATCACTAGTTGTGCCCTACTGACATGTGTTGGTCAACATAGCAACTTAAGGAGTTATCCTGTAAATTATGGCTACTTTTTACGTAAAAAACAGACTGTAGGGCTCAAACAGTCCCTTTAAGGGGAATTTGACAACACCCTTGATTAACCTGAAAGTACCTTGCCTGAAGCCATACGTTATGGAAAGCTTAATTCTATGCAGTGATTCGCATTGACAATATATTGGTTCTCAAAGCAAACTATCCACTAAAAAAAATAGCAAAACCAAGATCTCAAGGGAAGTCCAATCACGGCGGCTTAGATAATCGTTTACTACGACATCAACGTTATCACTACGGGAGCCACCAATTCAGTTGCTGATAAAGAGGTAAAGATAGCGCTTAGGCTCAGTTAAAGAACATTCCACATCCATCTTTTTTGGTCATACACTCAACTAGCCGGCTTGGGAGACCGAGTTTAGATAAGAAATACGGAATATCACAGTGGGACAGACTATCAGTGGGATACGCACTTTCAATAGAGGGTGTACCGACTTGTAAAAAAGGGTGCCTTTGAGCGACTTGAGGAAAGGGATACAGGGAGTCAGTTACTAGAAATTCAAGTGTATTTTAGCTAGAGGTACATTTAGCGTTGGTAACACCATCCTACAGACATCAATGGCAGCCAACTCAATTGCAAAGTGCGATGACACTCACCGATGATGACACACTGAATCGACGATGGCCTCAATCATTTTATGGTGAAAGCCAGGATCATCTGACAGCTCATTTAGTGGCATCATGAACAATCAAAAATTTTGAGATACTGTAAAAGATGAGAGACATTAACTTTCAGGAGCCTAAGGATATAACTGGAATGGTAAACACAAGAATTCTGTATCTTGAATTTGTGTCTTGAAAGCTATTCAGTTCTGCATCCTCAAAATATCCAGCTTGGGATCGAATTGACTTTGGCTTCCATCTTATTTTGTTTTCTATATCTCCTTTAACCAAAGAACCAAAGTAATACGAGATCATCTTATTTCGTTTATTATATGACAATTTCTGTGGGTTCGAGATAATTCAACTGAAGTCGTCAACAAAATTACTAACGGAGAAGGAAAAATCGACTCGTGGTAGAACCACAATTCAAAAATTACGCAAATTTGACTAAGATATTTAAAGTTTTGGGGTTTTTACTACTGAAAGTGGCTCAAGATTTAATAGACTCACATTTAGACCTGCCAATCGGTCTCCATTTGATGGTGATGGTGATGATGATGATGACAAGACTTGACAAGGTGTAAAAACGCTGTCTTTGTGATTTACAACACCCTTTAACTCTACACGGGGTGTCGATGCAAGTAGCAGTTTTACACCCCACAGCTCTCAGACACAAGTACTATTGATAGCGGTAAAAGGAACTCGAAGACATACACTCCACACCTCATCGAGCCAGCCATCGACGTCAGAGAGCATGAAAGGTCGATGTTCTCCTCCACTTCACCTTGATTGCCTGCTTACGCAGGCGGTTGCGGATTTCTTCAAAAAAAAACGATGTGTTAAATTAAATTATTTTTTACGTCTAGACTGAAGTATGTGCGCAATTGAAGTGTATGTGCATGTGCTGACGGCTTTGAGATTAGTTCTTGTGTCCATGCAATCACGAATATTTACTCGCCCTGAAGGTGGACAATGCACAGAAATGAGGATTAAAGTCTTGCAAAATCAGTTTATACAATCGTGTGAAGATGTAAATCAAAATAAATTCGATTCGTATGTTGAGATGGTTTACTGTTCATGTGGTTGTCAATACTTGGACACCATTGTGATGAAAGTAGGGAGGATGGGCGGTGAGGCCTTCTGTTTCTCTTGGTCTTTTAGTCACAGAATGCCATCTGCAAATCGATAAGCCGTGCTGCCTAGGTGTATGCCAAAACCCACTTCTACGTGTGTGTGACTTTGTATGTGGAAATTGCCTGTCTCTTCGGTGATTTAAAACGCTCGCGCTACAAGTGGTGCAACCATTAAGTAAGTCTTACACAGAATTCGTAAATCTCCCCATCGAGAGACAAAAGAAGGCAAAAATTTGCAGTGCAATATACTGTATGGGAAAGGTACAATTATTTTGTAGACGATCAAATGCGATAAAGGCAAAGCATGAAATGAAATGTTTCTTTTTCTCTCACCCTCCAGGCGGTCAAGTGATACCATGAATTCCAGTATTGAAATAGGTCAAGTAAATAGTAAAAGGTATTCAATGTGAACGGAGACTTGTGAGTTTGCCAAAAGGGTAAAAATAACAAAGTACAAAGGGAGTGGGCAGGCTGAAATAGTTCTTCTGCCTGGTAACGTCCCCCATTTTTACATCTTTTTATTTTTTTAGAATAATACTTTAGCATGACCGAATCAACCTTGGAAAGACAACACCACTTCGTCAGACCGTAAAAACGTTGAAAGCTACCTTGGTACCCAGCGTGGGTTAACTGCTCTCTCTTCCCACCGAGAGGAAGATCCTTCTCTTCTGCATCCTCCTCGCACAACGACCTACGCCTCGATCATCTATCCACCATCAGGCATTGCACACACTGGCTGCACGTTAGCCCAGACCGATCACTGTGGAGGTCGTGGACTGCCAACGCAACCAACGTGGCTGAGATCACCACAGCTAGACGTTAGAAGGTCTTAGAAATGCCGACACAATCAAAATGTCCTACTGGTCAGCAGTTGAACAGTCTCCATCAGCGTACAAGCAGTGATCGAAGGCATTAGCAGATGGATGGGGGTAGATAGGCCTTTTCTGATTCACTCGCTACCACTGTTGTCTCCTATCTTGGCCAAAACTTGCTCCAGCTAGTAAGACTTGCAACAGGACATCTACCGTTTGTAATATTGTCATGGTAACATCTGCTTTTACTGTATCCACACAATCAGAAGTCGTGGTTTCACAAAAGGCTCCTTAAGGCTTCTACTCTGTCAGGGAGCGTTTCATGTGGTCTGTAGGTTTCCAATACCATAGTAACCAGTTTTGCTTGATTTGTGTTTTGAGAGATAAAGGGTGATACCGCATCAATATCATGCATCGCTACGTGGAAAGACATTCACGTTTGACCCTGTGCCGCTAGTCTATCCTTTTACCTGCCCGCATTCCACTTTCCTGACACTACAGTGATTTGGCAATCTCTTTTTTAGGGCGGCTAGGAGGGAGTCCATTGAAGTAATTCATTCCATTTTCTGATTTAATGCATCCTTTAGCTTGCATATCATAGAATCGTTAAAAGGAGTGAATTTTCCGCCTACATCCCAAATCATTGCTCCTGTGTTCCAAAGGTATTGCAATTCACATAGTATTAAATAATCAACCATCAGGGAAACAAAGCCGATGGTGTTTGGTTAGTTTAACTAAGGCCGTAGGTCATCCTACGTCTAGTGAATGCCAATTTTTCTACTATCAAGAATGTGCTATTTCGCAAGAAAGTTCACTTTTTTAAACTCTATTAGACACATTTTATGAAGTAATGAAGGTGGCAGCGAATGAGATACTTTGTTTTCAAAGCTATCCGACAAATGGGACTCGGTGACATTTAGAAGGCGTGCTTCTCCTCTTTTTTGCAGGCGGAAGATTGCATTTTACTCCTTCAATGCAGCTCTCGATTTTAGCAGACTCGGGTAGTGGAATTGGGTAGCAAAAATGATCACCTCCTTCAAAGCCCTAGTCACATACTTGCAAGTCTGCTTCACAGAAACTCTTGATAGAGAAGTTAATACTACCAGAGCGTGATATTCGAAGTAATAAAACAGCAGTATAGTAAAAAGTGATTAATTTGAGCCTGAGGTGTAGATGAAAATCAAATCGTATCTTTAGATCTTCCCTCCTCTCCCAGGTTCTCAGCGGAAAGTCGACCACCAACCTTGCACTGATTGGCCGATTCAACTGGTTCTAGAAAACCGATACGTTAGATTTGCCCTGAACTCAAATAGTTCCCCTGAAATGTAGTTTGGTGCAAATAGTTATCATAAGCTGACAAAGATCGCATTTCACATATATGTGACGTTGATTGTGAACGTGTTGACTCATTCATACCTTTTGAGTCTTTTACCACCTCTTTTTAACTGAATGGATGTATATATATATGCATATTTGATCTAGTTTAGGGGAGAAATGGCTCCATTCTTGTCATCGCTTAAAGGATTTACACTTTTTTCGGCGACTACGATCAATCCACTTCTGCATTTTTGATTTATGGCGTCATGTGTGTCTCCACTGGCAACCAACCCCAACAATGACGAGTCGTCATAACAACGGGTTGGACAGCGAAGCAACTGTACTTCCTCACCGCGAGATTGTCAATGCATAGGATGGGAAGGGGGGTAGGGAGGAGACGAATATGAGGGGAAGAAAGAAGGGGCAACAACAACAAAGAGAAGAAGGGGAAGAGGCGGAGGAGAGAGGGGTGGCCTTAGATACAACCATAGCGGTGGCGACAGTAGAATTTCCGTGTTTAGGAAAGCGCGTGCACAGTCCTCTACCTAGCGGTAGATAATTACACGGTTCTTTGAGCACTGTCAAGCCCACTACACGAGGCATTGTTGTTTTTTGTTCCAACTATGATAGGGCTACTGGAATTTGGGGCTGACCAAGGAAATCTCGCCAGATGCCAAATGGTAATTATAAGGATGGACATGAACCATTCTGGAACTTGTAATTTTGTTGGTACGCAGGTAAAGACGGGCATTACAGACCCCATCGATCACATTTACATGAGGATTGGATGGATTAATTTTTCTGGAAAAGCAGAAGTAATAAAGTAGCTGTTTCCATCACAAGCGGGGGACATCTAGGTGCAGTTCTGCCATTGTTCTTCCATTTCCGGGTTAATACACATACTTTGAAATATAGAGGACGGAAGAGAATTTAATGACATAGAATTGGTTAGGTAAAACTACGTCTTTTCGTCTTAAAAATGCTACAAAACTTCATGAGTCGACAAAAGCTTCTGACGAGTTAAGCCGTATTAAAATCCATTTAATGTCTCACAACATAGTTTGTGAGGACCTCTCCATTCGAGGCGGAGCCGAGACCGCACAGTCGGGGAAAGCAGAAAATTCCGATTTAAGGCACGAAAGTGCAACCCACAGCATTAATTTGGAAGGTAATTTACTTCATTTCTTTTTAGCTAAAAATCCTACTTAATGCTTTTATATTCCGAGAAAGTGAAGCTACCTGAGATCATGTTGGGGGGAAGGTAAGTACTAAATTGATGGCCCCGTGAAAATTTGCACCATGACTTTAGAATAGTAAAAAGTGGAATTTATCTTTTTTGACAATTTTGTCTACAACTTTGATGTGCTACTTCGAGTCTGCCTGCAGTGGGGCAATGCATCGCAAGAATTTTGCCTCTCCATTTCCTCCATTCGCTGCTGTTACTGTCTGAAGACGGTAGGTGGGTAGGTTAGTGCTGATTTATTGCTGTCTTGTAAGCTTTTAACTTCCAGGAAAGGGTAAATTTTGTACCTCCTGCACAGCAAAGGGGTCCTGTTTCAAGAAAAAATCATCGATGTTGTTTCCCGATGTTATATAATCCCATAAAGCCCTTGTTGAACAAGGAGGAGCAACTCGGTCCCCTTCCCTTCCTACTGTTTAATTAATTCCCACCAGGTGCAAGAGAGACACATTCCAAGTTGAATGGGAGACAGGTTAATTGTGATTTGGCCAAAGTATTATTTTATATGAATAATATTTTAAGGAAGGCGAATTTTTTTCCGATCAAGCTAAAAAGAGACGTCCGGCACGCGCACTCTAGTGGGGTCTATATGGAGGCGGCGGAGGAGGAAGTACAGATGGACGCCGTACACTCGCCCTTCCATCCTTTTTGGTAATGCGCAAGCTTTTTCCCCATTTACGTCAACCTCTCACCAAAATCCCCCTCCAGCAGCGGCAACGCAACCGTCCGCACACAGGTTATCAGGCTGAAAAAAGAAGCCTGCCTTCACGCAAGCGTACCGACGCACGAGCGCGCCATTTACCTCGCCCTCCATATGTGTGGGGACTTAATGTAATGTCACATTGTAATTTGACGGAACGATTGCGTTGTCAATACACTCCCCAAAAGTTCCACACAAAAGTATGTTTTATTTTTCAAGAAAGTCGACATCTGACTGTCTGACTTCATGTAAAGGAGGAAACCGGTGCATTAGTACTCGTAATCAAGCCACCACGGGTACGTGTGGTCAACAGAAGCTGTCAAGGCAAGGCTCCCCTAACTGGTTTAAGTTGAATAATGCCATCCAGGATCA